AAGGTAACGCACCAAGGGAATTTTCTATACGACTCCCAGCTTTGCAATTCTAACTAGCAGCTCGTTTTCTTTCACCTGAATATTATTTTCCAGTAAACATTCATCAAGGACCACCCGCCCAATCTTGAGGAAATAAAGGGTAAGACTTTAAGAAATTTTCTTTTGTCTTATGACAATTCCTAAAAGGGACCCCCACAGATGCTTTCATTTATTCAGCCCCACGAAATGGCTGACACCCTCCCACACGGAAGTCGTGAGCATAGCAGCCTCAGAAGGCTGTGCCTGACGGTGTGCCCTGTTGCTCCCCCTTCCTTCCCTAAACCTTTCACTTTCCTTTTCTAATCCTATTTATCTTCAAATATTCTCAAAGTCAAGATTCTAAAGGCAAACATATTTTCCGGTATCAAAAATTCACACCAGAACTTGAAAATCTAAAAAAGCCAAAAGAAATCTTAACACTCACACACATACAGTAAACACATCAAAGAAGATAAAGTGACATATTTTGTGGCATAAGAAAAATAATGTTTAATAATTACAACAATGTAGCATCGACATCATAGTGGTCCACACAAATCCACACAGGACTGCCTGTGACATTTAAAGCAGGAGTTTCTCCAGGTTGTCTGCAGGCACCCTGGCTGTCCAGGGAAGTGAAGAATGGCCGGCATTAAGAAGTCCACACAAACCAGGGCAGCTATCCCAGGCCCCGAGGCCCAGTGTGTGTGGACAAGCAGAGACATCGCAGAGTTCAATGAAATGGGCTTCAGATGCTACATCTCAACAGCGTTTAAAACCGAAAGTGCTTCACATCTATAGGATAAGAAATGGCTTCGTCTCCTCATCCATAAAAGGTGAGAGCAAAGGAGTAACCCTTGGGTAAATAATGTCCCCTTTAACCTCTGTATCAAATTCCCACCCCCTTGGGAGGTTACACGGTGAAATGTACACACTTATATACAACAGGGCAGGTCTGTAAAAAGAATTGCTCTCAGATGCATTTTTTTCTGCTCCCTAAAAAGCCTATGAAGATATTGGATCCACAGGGGAAAAAAGGCAAGGCATTAACACAAGGATCTCAACGACCACCCCCTTCTGGGGGAAGAGACATTAAAAACACAAGTGTTCTTGTGAAATACTCCAATCTAATCATTAAGGCAGGTCTGTAAGAGATCCGTCCTGGGGACGCGGACGGCAACGTTCATGGTTCCGGGGAACAGGCTGGAGTTAACTCTCGGCAGAGCGGCACAGCAACATCACCTGTCACAAGCGGTGGAGAGATTGGAGGAGAGTTGTTCCTGAGTTAAAATCTGCTTACGACAGCAAACTTCAATACACTCGAATTTAATTGTTTTCCACTGCAATGTCTTATGCATCACCAAAAAACTGACTTGTAAAAAAAGAGCTTACCAAAGGCAAAAAAAAAAAAAAAAAAGACTTGATCTTTTCTCATCCCAGCACTAGTGAATAAAACGCTAAGTATAGGAAATTGGCAATTCTCATTAAAGGTCCCAGTGAGGCAGCCAGGTTCTAAAGCACGGGCCCAGACAGCCCCTGCACCAGGTGTGGGCAGGAAACTGGCAAGGCTTGCTTGGGCACAGAGACTGGGATTAGCAAGGGATGGAAGAGGAATCGTAAACAGCCAGAAAACAAACCATCTCCAAAGCCGCCCAGTTCAAAGGCATCAGAATGCAAAGGTTTGGGTGCAGTTAAAGGGCAATGTGACCAACACATCGAGAATGAAAAAGTCACATCTGATGCCAGACAAGTTGTTCTGCGACTTCTGCAATGCATGGTGCTGCCATTTTGGTTTTAAAATATATAACACTGTTCTATGAAAAAGTTTATCTCACTTTAAAATCCTCCTCTTCAGAGGAAGGGAAACAAAGGAAAGTGCCTATGGTCACCATTATTTATTGCAGAAGAACAAAAACCTGGCCCCATGGGCCAAGGCTTCCTGTCCAGGGCTCCTCGCACTCTCCAGAGCTGGCGGGGCCCAAAGAGACCAGTGAAGCTGGGGTGCAGAAAGGCTTCCTTACCCGTCTCTCCTGCATTTGGACACAGTGAGGGAGATGTTCCCACATTTAAGCTTTCATTACTTAGTCGAACTCAAGATGCATATTGCTTTATTCTTGCTGAAAGAGGGAAAGTTTATGTTTAGTGAGCACTGAGCCATGCTGGCTGCACGTGATGGTAAAGCAGACCTCAGGGTTGACACTGCCTGACAGCGAAGCCCTACCCGCCAGTATCAGCGTCACAGCATCACCTCTGTCTGCTGTCATCAGCTGCAGTGAGATATAATAAATAATACATTTTATTTACAGGTTCTAGTTAAGACCTCTCTTTGCGGGGAGTGGGGAGGAGGAAAAAACAGTGCATTTTGTCACATTATTAAACTAGCCTATATAGAAAAGTCTGGGTGATCTCCCAGGATGCAGTGAACACACTCTGACAATCATGGTACTTAAACACAGCAGATGAGAGCTGGCATCTTTTGGGTGGGCACAGGGCAGTGCAAGCGATCCCCCCGATTTCAGGGCTGGGTCTCGGCCAGCCAGCATGCTGCCCTTGGAGCCCGGTGGGTCTGGGACTGTAATACTGCTTTGAGACTTTTGAATGGGATGGAAGCATCTTTGCAGATATTAAATAAGGTTAAATTATTTGGACATACTGGAGTGGGCAGTATTCTGATAGCACTGCGGAGAGCATGGTGGTGCGGAACCAACCGGGCACCTACCAGACGCTTCCCGACACCTCTGCTTTCAATGGGTCTGTGGGCAGAGTTCCTAATTCACATGGCTGTGAAGGCTGGTGGAAAGGGAGTTCCAGCATGGGGACTGGCCCAGACACAACGACCTTGGGTATGCATCCAAAATGGAATATTTACAAGAAACATGTATATATAATATTTATATATTCAATTTTTTTTCTTTACCAGTAATCTGTGTTTTAAAATATTCACTTGAAAGTCGGGAAAACCAGGACTTTTAGTCAGTCACTGAACTTATTGCAAAATGAGGTAACTGAGATGGTAGCAGAAGTGAGATTAACGCAGCTCAGGTCCTCAGCGTATGCATCTCCTGTCTGGATGCTTCAGTAATGGTCTGAACGTTCGATTCTCGTGTTGGGCCCCAGCTTTCCTATGCACAGAAAGCAGATGACTTTGTGTCCATTCCTGCCCTGCAGTCCTGAATGGCACCTGGCTTGGGTCAGGAGTTCCTGGCTTGATCTTGGAGCTGGTCTTCGATAGAAAGGATGAAGGACGTCCTTACAGATTCGTCTCATCCCAAGCAGGATCATTCATATTCTTTAGAACTTTCCTCACTAGCTTTTCCAGGTCTTTGCGGGCTCTCTGTTCTTCCTCTAAAGATTTCTTCATCTTTTTGTTATCCTGTAAATCAAGCAGACCACAGTACAATCACTACTGCTGGCACTGGCAGGCTTTCCTTTCCCAATGCACACCCTCCAATGGGACCTCGGGGCCTCAATTACTCAGATCCCGTGTGCACCTTCCTGTGGGCTGGGAGGTCAGGGGGTCTGCAAAGCTTAGCCACCTGACAGACACTGAGGTGCTCTTTACTACACAGTTCCTGGGAGCCAGGACAAAACAGTCCTAATGGCCCATATCTATTTCAATCCATAAATGAGAGAATCTCTCTATAATATACCATAAGAAAATGGCTGAAAAGAGCACATGGGACAGCTTCTATCCAACAGCTTCTTTTCACACTTATACTTTACAGAGTTATATAGAGCAATGGAAGTAACAGCCACTAAATGGACACAGGAGTGAATGAGTAAGAACCTGCTTCGGTGCATGTGAACGCAGGCATTTCTCGGGATGTAGAAGGTACACACATGTACACACATGTCCTGCTGCTAGGGGTGAAGCGTGAACAGAGAAGCCATCAAATATGGAAGAGAAGTACCTGGAAACCACTCTGGACACTGCTCAGAATGCCTGAGAGCGTGTTGAGACCTGCATGGTGGCCACTGGCTCTCTATCCAGCCCCTCCATATCCCAGGCCACATTGTTCCCTGGCTGTTCGTTGGCCTACACCCCACAACCTTTCCCTCACCTTCTTGGGCAGGAGACCAAAGCCATTTGCACACACAAATCATACACTGATACACAAACACACCTAGTTAGTTAGCCAAGTGTAACTGACCCGCTGACTGGCTTCTGAAGCAAAGGACAGTGTACTGGCAGAGACTAATCACAAGAGGCCTCTAATAGGGCTTTTAATTAGACAGAATTTTAGCTAATTTAAAGTATTATTCCAATAGATTTTGAGATGGTTTGTAACATCAAAAACAACACAGTTGAAAGAGTTTAAACAAGCTACTTTAAAAATTTATTTTCTGGTTTATCACACTTACGGAAGACCAATTGTTTTATGTGCTGGAATTCAGAAAGACATGGTCTCCTTTTAGTATTTTTTTGTTTATGGACAATCAGTTTTATTTTTAATATAATATTTTCTCTTTTTGTCCCATAAACAAAAGATTTAAAAACGAATTATGACGCACCTGTCTTAATTCTTGGACTTCATCCTTTAATGCATATACAGTATCAACAAGACTCCTGAAATAGGAAACAGAATAAACACATAAACAGCATGAACATCAAAACTTACCAGGAGATGCCACAAGGCTAGGAGAAGGCACCAGGGCTGTCTGGCCTTATTTACTGCCACAGCTAAATCCACAACTTTAAAAGAACTTGTGTGTGTGGCAGGTTAAACTCTTAGTCAAAGTTAACTTTAACCTTTGAAGAAACTTTTAAAGTGCAGTTTCTGAAGCCACAGCCAGCCCCTCGGGGAACTGTCCTGACTCCCCTACCCTCTGTGGGTCAGAGGCCTGCTTTAAAACATGGGAAGACATCTTACTTTTCTTCTATCACAGTCTGGCCGTTACTTTTAGTTTCTTCAACTATAATCTTCTCTTCTTCTGGAAGCAAAACTTGTGGAGCAGATTCTTTGCGTGAACCTAAGATCATTAAAAAAAAAAAAGAAAAAAAATAACCTCAGGTGACTATTACAGCAGAACAAAGAAATAGAACTTGACTATACAGTACTACTTAAATACTAAATTTCAGTGACTATGTAATAAAAATTTTTCAGCAAGACAAGCCAGAGTATGGCATCTTTGACCAATATTTTCTACAGAACCCAACCCTTCCCATTACCCAAGGCCTCAGAGGAAACACCAGCCTTTTGCAAACTAACAAACTTCAGTTTCTGAATCTGGATTATTAATCTTTTAAATCCCAAAATATTCAACAGGTGGTAATTTAAGGGTTCTAACCATGTTCCTTGGATATTCATCTAAATTTTGAGCCATTGTATTATTCATGGATGTCAGGAAGACATATGAGAGAGACCAAGCAGAACAAACACATTCAGTGTTTATTAATTGAAGAGCTGGCAATTAAAACATTTAACTCTATGGCAACATTTAAAAATAAAGATATAGCATATGATTTAGAAACAGTAAAATGTATTACTTGGTTCTTTTATGAAAACTTTATTCTACATTCCCTGGAATATAAATACTTTTCTAAATGAAAGTAAACTGTTCACAATGTCAGAGGACATTAACTACTTAAATAACACCTGAATAAAAGCCTATATTGGACTTTGGTTGCTGTAAGATATACTTTAGAAATTAAATGGGAAATCCAAATACTCATTTTAAAAGGTGAGGAAAGAGAATCAAGTCATAGTCTTAAAGAAAAGAATATTTTCTTAAAGATTATACAACATAACATATACCATTTATAATTTTGAAAAATATCAGATGCAAATTGAAGGAAAGATATTATCTACCACACCACAAAAACACTTGCAGTGGGATTGTGATAAGCATTTCTCAACGAAAAAAGTATATTTAATGGTTGAGGTACATTCATTAATTATGGAAATGGTGGTTCAACTTGCTTGGTCTTGTTTTTTCCCACTTGCCTTTTGTTTGTCTTCCTAAAAATTTGTCAGATTAGAAGAGCAGCACGTGTTGTGCACCCTCATTATCATGGGAAAGTTTGAATTATACAAATGTTTTTAAAAGACAGGATTGCAAAGAATAGTTTTACCAGCATTTTACTGTATGCTTATACTCCTCTGAACAGAACAAGATTAACAACTGTCAAAGCTGATGACAAGAGGGCTCATAAAACATTCCCGACATGCAGAGTATCTCAACCATTCCCACGGCGGAATGCGTGGAGCTCACTGGCCACGTGCTGCCCTTTGTGAATCTACAAAACCTGCTCCACCTCATCCCAGACTTCGAAATGAGAAGGCCAGAACTAAGCAAGATTCAGATGCTGAGCTCCTTTGTTATCTCAGGTGTAAGAAGACGGAGCTCGGGGTGAGCAATCAAGTACAATGCTATGTCACACAGCACAAGCTCCAAGAGAGACACATTTTACACCAATAAAGGAAAGAACCTTTATGGGTACTGAGAATAATTTCAGTGTTATGATCAAATGCAGTACCTAGACTTTGTTAAAAGTAATGGGCTGGCATATCCACACGTTTATAAATGGGTCTGTCAAATACTAATTCAAAGATGCCCCTCTAATGACATGTTCACAATGTGCTATACAAACCCCTGACAGCAAGCCTATCAGTGTGTGTGTGGAGGGGGGGACCTTCATGCACGCACCCTCAGAAGGCGGCATTCCACCCACCCTCACACACAGTGACCTACACCTCAAGAGTAATTTTTCAGACAAAACATTCAGACAGGACTGCAAGATACGGTTTCAGAAAGAAATACATTTTTGAAAACACTAGGCTGACAATATCAGTCTACCCAGAAATCTCTGACAGGTTTCAAGAAACAAGGGCGGAAATGTCCCTTCTGGATGAGAGGAGCCTCGCCTGTTCCGGGCACCTGCACCTCTGAGAGGTCACAGGAGAGAACCCTGTGGGCTGCGGGCCTGCCTTCTTCTAGCCTCTCCTGGTTAACGGGCAATGCTGCTGAGATGTGTGGGCCACACAGGAAAATACTGCGTGGGAAGGAAACTGATACGTGAGAAAGATTTACAGAGATAGCAGGGGTACTTCCCAGGTGAAGAATTTTTCTGTGCATCTTGCTACAAAAGTGAAAAGTGCCCATGATTTTAGAAGAAAAAAAATTATATGCTATTTACCCAGAAAATACAAAAGGATTCATAAAGATTCAGATATTTATACCACATGTGTAGAAAACATATGGCTTCACTTAATCTTCCTTGGGAAGAGAAGCTAATAACATCGCTTGCTTTAGTCAACTCCTAAGTTTTCCCACTGTTATTAATTACCTTGTTGACCTGCTGTGAGCCTAGATAGTTGATGCCTGTGTTTGAGTCAAATCAAAGAAAGGTATTATTTATGATCTCACATTAAATTTGCAACACATTTGGATTAGCTAATGAGACAAGTTGAAAAAAAAAGTTTTTATGTAACTGCACTTCAGGCAAATTATGTATTTCTTTTAAATTATTTCTGCCACTTCTTCCACCTTCTTAAACAATCTGTTTACATTATGTGTTTCCAGCACTGAGGTTTTCAAATGACATATAAAACAGAATCACAGAGGATGCTGACACTTCTGTGCAGAGGTGCTGCGAGGACACTCTGTGGTGATGCTTCATCACTAAAGCCAGAGTCTCAACTTCATTACTTACAAAATAAAATAACAAAACTAACTACTTCTCCAGCGGTGTTCTGAGGATTAATTTGAATATTACATTTTATAAATATCTTTTAACAGATGAATTCATAAAGATAAAAGCCATTCCACTATGCAACATAATTAATTTGAGGAGCTAAAACCTGTAAGAACTGATATGATGACTGCATATACATGACATTGGCCTTATTTTTGCAAATACACTTAAAGCACTTGAGAAGGACTTAATGATATATTATAAAAATGTAAGTTTGAGAATGTTATATTACAGACAGGATTATAACTGCTTCATTCCTGAAATGCACTAATGTGAAAATGCCATTTATGGATCTCTGATGGTGAGTTAGGAGGCTTACAAATGAAGATTATTAGTCTGCCTAGAAATCAATGTAGTGCTAATAATCTGTCAAGTGTCAATATAACATATTTTTCTGAAATGACTGACAAGTACTACAGCCTTTCAAAAAAAAAAAGGAATATTTTCCAGCCAGGTTTATAAATAAGTTGGCTATTTCTTTAAGAACAATGTTTTAGAAAGTAGACAGATTTAATATGTTATCTCATAAATTATTAAAGTACTTTTAGAGGCATCATAACACATTTTCCCCAAATTACCTAGATTAGAAAAACAATTTAACAACAGAACTACCAGAGAATGTTCTATCACTTTATTTAAAATCCCATTAACAGAGGCTCAGACAGATGAACACATTCATGATGGTTCCAGTACAGTCAAGATCTGTGTTTCCTAAACTTTGGTGTTTCTAGAGATGAGAGGAGTTCTGCAACACACTATTTTGGGAAATGCTACATGCTACAGCCACTTCTTGGAGATTCAGTGCACCTTTAGCACAATATGGGTTTTGATGAAGTTTGCCACAAAAATTCTTTAATTCAGCATTTCTGAAACTCGTTTTGAGTAGTGAACTTTTTTGTACATTAATATTAACATTAAAATCCTAAAAATGGTTTTCTGGATAACAGTTTGAGAAGTGCTAGACTAACCTATCATCTGTCTGTTTCTATAAACACATACACAAAATTGCTGGTTGGCTGTTGTTAACTGTTTCTGTATGGAGGTGAGAATAGAAAAAATCAATATAATGAAATAATAATTTATACTTAATACCAACCAAATCCAGTATTTCTCAAACCTGAGGACTCCCATGAACGTGCCTGCAGATGCTTGGTGTCTACCCACCAAGGCCTGCTGAGAAGCACTTGCAATGACAGTTCCATACTACACTGTCAGGGTCACTCTGTGCCATGCACGTGGCAATACCAGCAGGCACTGGGGCCCCATGGCAACACTCACTCAAAGGGGTATTCCGTAAGCCTGAGAACATGCTTGTATCATATGAGCACAGAAGTTAAAATTCTAGATATATCTGAGAACTCTACCTCCCCCCACCCCCAAACATTCACAAATCCCTAGAGAACTGTGGACCTTAGTTTAAGACACACAGATCTAATCCAGTATTTCCATTTTATAGACGAGATGACTTGCCCAGGCAGTAACAGAGCAGGGACAGTCCCAGGGGCTAAGTCGCAGCACCCTTCTTGGTTGTTACACCATGCGGGGAGGCCTTATCTGACACACACAACTAAATGTTTCAGGAGTAACACAGCCCAACTGTCAGATCCAGGGTGCTGTATGATGTGTGTGCACGAATGTATAAGTCTGCCTGCACAAAAAGACTAAAATCAGTTTAAGCTTGTCAGAAACGAATACCTGCCTATCCAGCCAGCAGTCTAGCACAGTTGTTGTATAACTCAGTTTCTTAAATTCATTACTTTTTAAATATCTGAATCTAATTATAATCAACTGAAACTAAAATAACTTTCATAATGGAGCAAAATACTATACTTTAAAAAATTTATTTAATAAAATCTCTCAAAAGTCATCTAGGCCACCTTGTTATTTATGGCTAATTTATTTTTCTCAGGAAAAAAAAAATAAAAAAACAGCATTTACTGTCTGCACCTTGTCCAAGCTCTGTACCTATCACAGAACTTCTCCTTCTTTTCTTTTATTCTGCTTCATTTCTCTGAGTCAGACTGATATGCACTTCATAAGACAAAAATGAAAAACTGACTTTAGGGTAAATAAAAGACTTCTAAGCACAAAAAACAATAATGCTTCTTTCTGGAAACAAACTTTCCAGTAATTGAAAACTTGTTTTTAAAAAATTGGAAGCAGGAAACAAATGAAATAAAAATGTATAAGGAGTGAACTTGTATTGTTTCTGAACCTATTTAACCCAAGAAAGTGCAAGCTTTTCTCTCAGGTCAGACAGAAAGTGTTCTACTGACTGGCCTGCCGCCTTTGTTCAGCAAGAACAGCTAAATCACATTCAACTGCAAACTACGCTACTCCCCCTCCCCCATGTAACAAATATTAAAAGCCACGGGCTAGCAAATGCAAAATTTATTTCAACTGTACATAACAGATTTTTTTTATAAAACAAACACTTCATTGCCATATGCAACCACAAACAATAATATGCATACTGTACAATACAATGCAACATTCAGATGTACATCCAGTGTTTTTCAAATGGTAATCACCTACTAAAAATGGCTTTTCCCATTCACAGTAAAGAGCACAATATATAGATTTTTTCAAGATCTTATACCACTATGTACACATTACTGTGTTTTGACAATTTTATGCAAAACACATAATTAATATAGCTTATTATATACTTGTGGCAAGTGTTAGTTCAATGGGAACACCATTTAGGCCACTTGCAAAGGGCCTAATGATGGCTTAAACCTACCTTCGAGTTCAGATTCTTCATCCTTTCATCATAATACTAACTGTACACACAGATATTACAGAACTGTATAAACAGAAGATACTATTATCAGCATGACTAAAGTTCCACAAAAATAGAAACACTGGCCCTTTGAATGCCATATCACCACTGCCACATGAGAACTGTCTTTTGGGCCTGTGGCACAAATATTTCTTAACCAGGTCACAAAAACTAATGGTGTTAGACATTCAAAACAAATGCAAACAACGAAAAAGGTTATTATTTTGCAGTGATCTTAGCATCAACAAAAAAGCATCCTCAAAATGCTGTAACTGGTACAAAAAGCAATGATGTTAAATTGTCAAAACTTTGGTGTATAGAATATCAACGAAAATTATTAAGATAATCGAATGATACTTGGCATTAAAAAAAAAGTGCAGCAACTGTATTCCAATGTGTGGTATACATAGCACATGACAGGCAACCCAAGTTTTACTAAGGCATGGCAAAGGCATCTAAACCAATGCACTAATTATCAGTCTCCAAGCAAACAAAAAGACATTCTACTATTAATATTAGAAAAGAAGATTCTCTATGAAATATAAAACCAAAATTGCTTCTCAACCCATTGTATGATATTGAGTAAGTATATAAATTTCATAGTTATCACATTTCTCCAAAATTCAATTTGCTATTTGGCTGGACATATATAAACCCCATCTTTACTGGAGATTAATACTGGGCTTTGACTAAATTTAAAGATTACTCCTTGACTTTCTTATTTATGCTAATTGATATAAAAATATGAAATCTCCAGCTGGCATAAGCAGTTCAGATGCTACCTGGGAATGAACCGTGGCCCTAATGACTTCTGTGCCATCACCCCATTCCATGCAGAAAGAAGCTGCCCGACTTTCCACACAATGAGCTACTGCCAGGACCTCACTAGCACCTCTGGGCTTGTGAGCAGCACGACCCAGCTTCCAGGACATGACTGATATTGCATCAGAGGTCACTCTGCGCAAACATCAGAACACTGAATACATGGGTTTGGCGAAGGAGGGGGTGGTCGGAAAAGAAATAGCAGCAACCTGGAATTACAGCCACCCTAAAGGAAGGAAGAAACGTTATTCCTGATGCACTGTGGCATCCTCTTTCAGTGAATACTTACAACACAACCATAAGCTTCCATTTTAACACTGAATAGAGTGTATGCATGGAAGAGAACACAGTTCGGCCTCTTGAGCGATGACTAGAGGTGGATTTGATGTTACAACTGAATGCAACACGTCACATTCAGTTCTCTTTGAAGCAGAAATTAGTCTGAGAGAGGCTAGTGAAAACTCCTTACAACAAATCCCAGAAAAGTGGGGGAGATTTTCTTATAAGTGAATTACATGGCAACTAGTAAAGTCTTCGGTGGACTTCGATATTGATATCCCACTATAATGAAGCATTAGGATTTTACATTATGGGTTGCTGTAAATGGAGTTTCACTGCAGCTGGTTTGCTGAAAACAAGAATGTGCTAATGGCTCTTATAGACAGCATAAGTACAGATGACAGGGGCCAGCCAGGCTGTGACTAAAGCCAAAGCACTTGACTTTTTAAGTCTACCAAAAGCCTCTCTGAACGCAGTCTAGTCTATACTTGCAGAGGCTGAATGTTTCAGATTTTAGACTTTAAATCTTTAGTATAGAGACTTTAGTAGAGAGTAGTTTAGGCTTGCTAAGTGCCATATAACAGAAATCACTGCAGTTCAGCAAAGTTTGGTGTGAAGATGAGCATGAACATCTGAGTCATGACAGTAAGCTCTGCCACTTCACAGCTACAATGCAGGACATGGAAGAGCACAGAGCTGTGAGGTGAGGACATCTCTGAACACACGTGACGCCCGTCCCTCTGTGCACTTGCCAAGGCCCAGAGCTATACACCATTGTGCATGATTACCAGAACACAAGCTCAGAACTGGCTCAGTGCTTTTGCTGCACATCTTCTTGTCTCTCTACAACTACTTTATCAAACATGTTCATCATACATGAAAAATTTAGGTCCCTGGGTATAAAGCCAGGTCTTCTCCATGTTGTGGCACTTAGATCACAAACCTGTGTGGTTTCAGTATAAAATATAAAAGTGTTCATACAGCTGTATCCAAAAAGAAATGAAACAGTTGCTACACTGAGAATAAAAAAACCCAAACCATTTGGAGCTATAAAACAACTATCCATTGAGGAAAGCATCCTCAGGTACAGGCTCATTGAACATACCACTCTCAGCAGTCAGGGTCTTAATGTAAACTCGAAGTGGCAGTTAAGCCTCCACAAAGTACAACGGGAAATACCAGGAACACTCTCAAAAGTTGTTAAAATATCACATAAAAGAGACAAGGAACAGCAAGAAAACATCTAAGAAAAGCAGGCTGCGATACCACAAGCATTTGTTAAGAAAAGCTCAGAAGTGCATTAGTTCTGGTGAGAGATATATGAGCAACAGCTCTTACGAGATGCAGAACCCATTCTGTAACTATGGGCTGTCCATATACTGTCATAGTCAGAGTCTTCCGAGAGGTCTGAAGGCTCCAAACGAGAAAGGCTACTGCGACGACCCAAGGAGTCTAGACTTGATTGGTCGTCGTCAGCCAAGACGTGATTATGCATCAGGTCAGTGCCTTGCCATGCTAAGACAGGGTGGGGTGACGTGACAGGTGTGACAGGCAGGGTGGGGTGAGAAGGAGAACAGACAGGAAGAGCCACAACCAAAAACATGGAACAAAAGCAAAAGGTGATGGGAAAAGAAGGAAAAGAGAAAATACTGTTAAAAAATGCAACAATGTTTATTTCTCCACATTTATGGCTGGGTTTTAATAATGAACTTAGCACAATGCTTAGAATAAAACCAGATCAATTATTATTTAAATAAACCTAACACATGATATTGTTTCCAAATTGCTCTTTTTTCAAGATATTGCTATAAAGCCCTCATTTAAGAAATCTTTTATAAATTACACCCATGTCCAAAAGATAATTCTATAAACACTTGGCAATTAACCAATTCTATTCCACATTCTATTAACAAATAATCTCATTTAGGACATTGTCTGTAAAAGGCATCACTTATGTGGCTACTTAAAAATGGTTTCCTATTCAATAAGTAGGTGTATTAAGTGCAAAATAACATCAAAGGAATTTTGACTTACTTCTTCAACTACACCAGGGGGTGGAGAGAGTCTAAACTTACCTTATCAATCTATAACCACTGTGAAAATTTCAGAGGGGAAAAAGGTACTACCCAGGGCCCATGGCCTTCCCACCACCCACTCACTACCTGCTCTCAGCATTCGTAAGAGCTCAGCGCCAGGTGTGCGGACAGTGGGGAACTGAATCTCTTTGCACTGTCACTGACCCTGAGGCAGACCTTTGCCGTCAGGAACAGACACGAACTGGTAATGCCACAATGTTATCAATAAAAGGAGAACAGAAGGAAGTTGTACAAAACAGTAGAAGAGATATAATTCCAGGGTGGCTGGCAACTGCGAGCAATGACCCTGGCCAGGCAGCAGGCTGAGAGGCACGCAGGGCTGCAGCCCTCACCGGGGAGCTGGGCTCTCTGTGCCGTGGCGTGACGGTGCTCGGCACACCACGGTAGCCACTGGCTCCATGCCTGTTCCTCCTTCTGATCTAAACGACCTCTGTTCCAAGACCACAACAAGACTCTGAGAAGGTCATTAATTCCTTGAGACAGAAATCAAGACCAAAGACATTTGGTTTATAAAGTCTTCTTAGTATCTAAATGTAGACTAAACAGAGCTGAATTTTAGATATATACATGTTATCCTTCTAAAAACTATTTTACTAAACACTTAATATAAAAAGAGCTGCTTTCATTATGATCCCGTTTCCAAAAGTCTTGATTATGCATGCCACCTTTCCAGCACAATCGATTTCTCCTCTTATTTCCTGGTTTTTAAAGAGTGTTAGGTTTAAGGATATATACATTATAAGCCCTCTGAGGCCCCAGAGTTGTTTGCCCATAATATCGATTAAAAACAGAAATCAATGTATCATCTGAAACTTTTCTTGCACAGGAGGAATAAAAATTCGTAATACAGGCAACCTAAGAAAAGGAGCTATGGGCCATCCTTAGGCAGCGGGAAGCAGTAGAGCATGCCACAGGCACACCACAGGGCACTGCCACTTATCATGAAGAAGGTGGCCTGTGCTGTGACATACACAGAGCTCACACACAGCTGTCCTTCAGAATGCTCCAGGAATTGGTTCCAGGACTCCCCTCAGATACCAAAACCCTCAGATGCTCAAGTCCTTGATACAACCTACACACATCCTCCCATATGCTTCAAATCATCTCTAGAGTACTTACAATACCTAATACAATGTAAGTGCTATGTAAATAGTTGGTATTCTGTACTGACTTTTAATTGTATTGTTTTATTGTTGTATTATTTTTATTGTTTCTTTTCAAAGATTTTTTGTCTACAATTTGTAGATGCAGAACCCATGAACATGAAAGGCCAAATGAATCTGGTCTGTTTAACTGAGACCATCGAGTTAAAAAATTTTAAGTAATTAAAACTGAGATGACTTAAAAAAAATTTCAAATCCAAAACTCTATGGCCATATCTTATCGTCTATTACTTAAAATAAAATCACTATCAAATTATGAAAATGTAATACCTTTAATCACAATGTGTATTTATAAGTTACTGCTTGATTAAACATATATTTATCCACATTTTGACAGTTTACCCAGGTCTTTTCATTTCTTCCCTATTCTGTAGAGTATTACTACAAATAGGTGTTTCTACCAAAGTATGGACAAAAGAAGGACAGTACTGACCCTTGGCAAAATGTCTTAATGTCACAGGTGGGATATGGTACAGTACTGGTAAATACTGGAAATGGTAAAAAAAAAAAACAAAGATGTTTCCAAATAATCCATAGATTCTACCTAAGATTTAACCCTGCCAGCCCTATCATCACAGCCATCCTCTTCAACAAAAATAAAGCATGTAAAGTCCTTTCCCACCTTATCCTTCCTTTTAGTGTTAGGTTAAAATAAGACATGACACTAATTCAAACCCACATTGCAGGTGACGAAAATGAAGAGGTGAGATAAATGATCTGCCCAAAGTCAAGGTGGAAAGATAATTGAATCTTAAAGTATAATAGAAACCAGGTTTTTATACTTAAGTAATATATAAATTATCTAGTTCTTTAAAAAAGAAGGAAAAAACCACCTAAGAAGCAGCACGACAAAAGGACAAGCTGTGGTACCCATGGCCCGGCACCACATGCCCACAACCTGTCGGCCACAGGTTGGGGACCGGGGATGGTCAGGGGATGCCAGCAGCCCCTTCCCTGAACAAACAGCACCCACTGCTCCGTCAGCTGCCACCACAATGTGTTTCACTCTTAACCGCTGGGGAAGAGTTAAAGGGAAAAAAAAAAGCCATCTTGCTGTCCAAGTACTAGATAAAAATTTTTTCATAGACATTACACATAAGACACAGGTAAATTCTGTGGTTCAGAAATCTACCAAATAAATTAGTTGTTAATTTCTGAAAATTAAGGGGAAAAAAGCAATAGCTTAAAAAAAAAAAAAAAAAAGCTAAAAGAAGCCTTGCTCTAGCTTTATATTTGGGACAATAAGCAGCTAAAAAAAATCTCAATACTATAACAATAGTTTAAATAGCTGAAATAAAGGCACTAATCTTCCACTGTCTTCTAAACACATCTTCTTTAGCAAAAGAAGTTTTATAAATTCTGGCTGTATCTGATACTTAAATATTTTCTAGCACAACGTTATCTAGAAAATCACACACAGCTCCTTTGCCCACAGCTGAGAAGACCAGGGCCTGAGGCTCACACAGCCACTCTGCTTACACCCCACTGGTGCATCCCACTAGGGAGAGTGTAGTCTCCTTCAGATCGTCACTTGAAACAAAACAGAATAAACCACCCCAATTCCCAGGAAATTACTGTAAAACTTACTTGAATTGAGGGTTTGCCGTGTTTTGGCGCTTGTACAGTAAGCTTCAATGACTTTCAGAATCTGAGCATCTTCTTCCAAAGCAGCTGTGCCTGTCAAGAGAAACATGATACTTCACAATCTACTCAGTCACTGATACCACTAGTGAGAAAGATGCAGTCATCAACTCAGCCAAAACTGACAATTAAGAGAACCTCTCCTTTTATTTTGTCACATAACTGTTTTGTAAATACTTATAAAACAGTTATATTTAAAAGAGCTTTTAATTTTTAAAAACATTTTATCTGCAATGTATCTGGCAAAGGGCTGATATCCTAACTCACAAAGGATGGCCTACTGACCCATAAGAAAATAGCATCCCCAGTCTGAAACTAGAAAGGGCAAACAAGAGAAATAAGCATACCAAAAATAAGAACACAGACAATCCCTATTGAGGGATTCAATCCCTGAGTATTGAAAGATACTCAGTCTCATGAAAATAAGAAATGAAAACTTAAATACTGTCTTCATATTTTCACATCCCAGCCTGATACAAACAAGCCTGTGCTCTCGTACTGATGTGGACAGAAGGAAAGGAGAAGCTTCAGCTGGTTGGTGGAAGCCACAACAGGCACGGCTCTCTGGAAGGGCGGTTTGACTGTATCATCTAGGGCTCTAGAAGAAGTATTCCCTCTGATCCACAAAATCCCACTAGAATTTAATCTAAGGCAGTTATAAAGCCTGAACTGAGGTGTCGCTCCAGAGCTCTTCTTTAAACAGTGGGTTACTGGACTCAGCTTCATCTCCACTTAGAGATCACAGGCTCTGAGGGTAGATAGAATCTTCTGGAGTAACAGCAGCCAGGGGCAGCAGCATTAGGCAGTGCCTCACGACCCAGCTAGAGCTGACTGAATATCAAATGGACTACCTGGACTCAATCCTGTGGGTAAACTGTTTCTTTTCTATATTTCTGTTTCTATGTTTTCTAAGATTTACTTGAATAAATATTTTAAAAGGCTTACTTTAACAAAAAATGTGGAAAGAATGGAAGGCAAAAATATTTACAGCTATGTATTCTTATTAAGCCTCAATTTCAGTTTAAAGGAATAAAATACATAAAGCCAAGTTAAGTATTTATAGTACCAAAAGTTTAAGCGCTATTGAGAAAAAGATTTGAATTTCACTAACAGGAATCATTTAACAGGTTTCCTATAATAAGCTACTCCTTGAGGAGTAAGAAAGGCAACATTTAAGTAGCTGGATCCCATGAAGGGCACGTGCACAGTAATTCCACAGGCAGGAGAACGATCTTCATAGGGACATGACGCATTGCACTGACGTAAGACAAGGCAAATACAAACTCATCGCACCACGGGGAAAGACAGACTCAGGACGGTGGCTTCCCATGGCCTACCACCATTACTGATGGGTTTCTCATCACAAAGGTTGGGCGAGGGCTCATTAATGAAAGGACAGCACACATTTTCTATGTTGCACTGTTTCACAAACTAGAAAAATTTTTAAGATTCTGAATGTAATAAAGCTTAAAATAACTTACAAAATTACAACCTGACTTCAAAGCAGTACAGTTTACTAAGCACTTACTATGCACAAGGCACTACTTACACAGAGATCATTTATATGAAACTACTTTTCAGTCCATACTAAATGTTCAGTTTATTCCATGGGTCCCTCCTTAAATTCCTCTCCCTAACCTGCTAAGACCATCTCAGGCCCTCTTGTTTCTTGTCTTCTATGTCTATGCGACCTCATGCCTGAAATGCCATCTAAGCTCTGAGTACACTCTGGAACTCCCACCACCAGCCCCGAATTTTCACGAGGGTCAGAGCCACATGAGGGCTGGCTACCTGACACCGCTTCCTTCCCACTCCAGTTCATGGACGCACCCTGCAGTTGTGCAGCTGAGAGCCTCGGCACTGCTGGCCATGGTCAGGCGGCGCTCTGCAGATAGCTGTCCTGTGCACTGTAGAAAGCTGAGCAGCGCCCTGGTTTCTGTCACCTGACAGCAGCAGCACCCTACCCAGCTGTGACAACTAAAATGTCTTCAGACACTGCTAAATGTTCCCTGGGGGCAAATCACACCAGTTGAGTACTGCTGCTGCAAGTTTCATTTTCACTGAATACCTGGTCCAGGACACCCCCCCTCACTCTCACAGTCTGGCTCCCTGCTTTCATCGTTGCCCATCCACTCTCCACATGACAATCAGGTCCCTGGTACAAAACTGAGCCGTGGCTGCCCGCTGCTCAAGGTGCTCAAGTCATGCTTGCTCCACGGGAAGCAGGCAGCTCTGGCCCACGGAGCAGCCTCCACAGCCCCTTTAACACATCACGGGCTCCTGCCCAGGGTCTCTGTGACCAGGTCGAAGCGCCCTCTCCAGACTTGGCTTGATGTGTCCTCAGCCCAACGTCTCTGCTCACAATGCCCCTGACCAACAACCCCGAGCCCTTCCCGCCGGGCCTCTGTGGTACTGCAAAGCCCACATACTTTATCACCCCCTTGTTCTATTTCTTCTCTCGATCTTTCTCCTAAAATACAGGCTCCACAAGGACAGGATTTCTCTTTCAGCCACTGCCAAATCCCTCACCCCAGCACGTGAAGGTGTGGACGTGTTGAATGAACGACCACTCACTGCAGCCAGCTCCTGACTCCGGCTCTTCACATAAACAGTGCCAAGACATGGCTGTGGAGGGAGGAGGCCCACAGAACATCCCACGTCGGGGACTCCCACCCCTTCTGAGAGGATCGACAGCACAGCCAGTCAGGGCAGAGCGGGCAGGTGAATGGGCCTAGGTCTTGGGTCTTGCTGCTGGACCCCAGGCCTTGCCCACCTCAGGAGGGGCTCTGGAGTGCACTGTGCTAGGGTCAGGACTCGAACTGCCGAGAGGAGGGCCCCACGCAGTGGTGCCTGCTGCTGTGACACTGGGAGACGAGGTCAGGAGAGGGAACATGCTGGCAGAGTCAGGGAGCCCTCTCACCAAGCCCTCCCACAGACCACACGGGGGTGAGGCGCATCATGGTCCCAGCTACTGGGCTACTCTGCAGCCTTCCCCCAAGTTCTGACAGAAAGAAACATCTCTCCCACAGCCTCCTTGTGGAAATGGATTCCTGCAGGGCCCCAGTGGCTGCCGTGAAGAGGAGGAGCAAGGACTGGGAGTTGTGAAGACCCGACACGGGCCTCTCCTGCCAGCTTGCTGACAACCCCTCTTGAGGCTGGGGGAGGTGGAGTAAGAGGCCCCAGACAGGGCAGTCTGAGTCAGACAGAACCCTGGGGACGGACCCTGGGACTTCCCTAAGGCCAGCCCATCTCCCCACCCGGCGTCTTCCTTTAGTACCAAGCAGCCCCACAGCCTCTGCCCATGAGCACCCCTCCTGGAGGTCACCCCTAGGGAAGGTCAGATACTGGAAGAAATGGGCTGGGAGAGGACAGTGAATCTTTCTAATCACTTCTTCTAGAAACAGTTCTCCTCAATCCAAAGCTATCATGTAAGCGCCTGATGGGTGTAAGGTGCTCACTGTGAGCGGCTGTGAGAGAGACCTAGAGCTGGGTCACATGCTGCCTTGGCCTCTCAGATGTCCAGCCCTGAGTGGTAGTTCCAAAAAAAGCACATACCTACCTCTAGCAGAAAAGAGACCCACAGCAAAAGAACAGGGTGATGGGTACAACTCTGGCACGAGAAAATAAATCCTGTTCCTGGCAGGTGGGGAGCACGCTTTGGGAATTACAGCACTTAAACCAGAAGAGCAAGCGAGACCCCAGAGCTAAAGCCCAGGCCTGGTTCAGACTCCTAGATGAACGCAGGCTCCAGGGCTGTGTGTGCTACGAAGCACGTGCCCATCACCACCAACACTGACACGCAGAAACTGCTCCTGGTCAACTGTGCAAACGCACAGCAGCTTGTTTCTCTCGCTGCCTCACGGTGTAGTCCATCGAAAGCCACCAATTCCCTCCCCTCCCGTGACCACTGTGGCTGCATGACAAGGAGGCATGTCCTCCACACACACCCACAGGCACTCACTTTTCCGCAAGGCAAACTCCTCGTCCGAAGGCTTCCGTTCAGGCTTGCGCTTAGGCAGCAGCTTTTTCATGGTCTTGGGACTCTTACTAAGATCCTAGGGAAGAGAAAGAAAAAATGCTGCCATAACATGACTGGCCAAAGCCAGTCATTTCTACTGGCATATCAAAAAGGGTTGCAGTTAATTAACGGTGAACTATTAAATTACTATAACCACTGTTAAGAGCTTCCTCCTTCTCTCATACTTTTTCTTTGTTAGCTGCTGAACGTTCATTTAAAGTTAATAGGGCATGTTCAGTATTAGTCACTGGCTAATATTTCTTGACTCTAATAAAAACCCTCGAGTGACTTGGATCCCATGACAACAGGAGTGTTAACAGCAGGCAGGCTGGTGGTGTCTGGAGAGGAAAGAAAGGGTCGGTGGTAACGTGTAGACATCCTGGGGGTGGGAGACTACGAATTCTGGAGCAGACTCACCTGGCACAGCCAGCTAGAAAGAGACCAGGAAAGTAAGGCTATTTTTTAAAAGACAGACAAGTAAAAAGAACAAGTCTTAACTTTAAGAAAAGATTTGAAGTCACAGAGAAAAAGAAGAGAAAGTGAGCGATGCTTCCTGGCCTGGAGCACAGAGGACAGACATAGCAAGGGACTGGCACTGGCTGTGCTCTAGGTGCATAGTCCTACTGGTGCAGAGCACATCCAAAGTGGGACGGTCCACCCTCACCTCTGGAACACATCTCCTTAAACAGTGCAGAAGACAAACAGAAAACTAAGTGAGCAAGACAAGCATCTATTAAATATCGGTATCAAAAATGGCCAACCCCATATCATTTTCATCATACAAACCACTCGTGAACCGTATCACGAGAAACCAAAACTCAGAATGTGAGATGTGCTTGGGAATGAACCAGACTGAAAACACAAAGGGAACAAAGCTTGATTTTTAAAGTTATCTTTTAAAAATCTTTTTTGTAAAAATAATTTTTTTTGAGACAGGGTCTCACTCTGTTGCCCTGGCTAGAGTGCCGTGGCGTCAGCCTAGCTCACAGCAGCCTCAAACTCATGGCTCAAGCGATCCTACTGCCTCAGCCTCCTGAGTAGCTGGGACTACAGGCATGTGCTACCGTGCCCAGCTAATTTTTTCTATATATTTTTAGTTGGCCAATTAATTTCTTTGTATTTTCAGTAGAGACGGGGTCTTGCTCTTGTTCAGGCTGGTTTCCAACTCCTGACCTTGAACAATCCTTCCGCCCCGGCCCCAGAGTGCTAGGATTACAGGTGTGGGCCACCACGCCAGCCCCAAAATAAAAAATTTTAAAAGCTCTTAAAAATGCAGCAGAAATCAGTTCCTGAAGAAACATATACCCTTGCTATACAGCTTCCCTCATTCAAAGCAAACAGAGAAAGTGACGTTGGGCAAGACACCCTGCCCCTGCTCAGAGAGCACCTGCACATGTATCAGGGCCCTGGCCAGCACACCCCACTCGTGACTCCTAGAGCCAGACATGCAGGCTGCAGAGGGCTCTGCGTGAGCTTTCTTTCCTGACACTCCAATCTGTAAGATCACTTTCCACCGAAAGTTTGGAGGCACTTGTAATAATGGACAACAATTAAAAGTTCTAACACCTTTTCTCTCATGTGGAGTCCAGCAAAGCAACTACAGCCAGGTTTACCAAACTCAGAATATCTATGTTTACCTCAATACCTCTTCCCTCATCCTTTGTAGTTCTTTGCCCAACAGTTTTACCCCAATTTTCTTCCCTGGTAATTTAATCTCCATCAGCTCTTGCCTGCAATATCTCACTTTTTCTTTACAGTGTACATACTGACCTACATAATAAAGAACACCCATATACCCATGTTCTTCAAGTAACTGCCCATGATAAAAAAAAATCCTGACTTAAGCACATGACTACCAGCAAGATATCTATCATAAAATGAAAGTCAGTAAGAACTAAAAAAACAAACAAACAAAAAAAGGGAAAGCTTTGATTTACAATTTCTTACAAAGTAAGAAATTCTTCTATGGGTCTTAAAAAACTTAGGGACGCTAGCGGGAACAGGGAGAGGGTCTCTCCAGCTCCCTTGGCAAATGTGGGCCTTGACTGGACATGGAGTCGCAACACCACACTCACACTTACACTCACAAGCATACTGACTCTCCTGCTCACACCCTCGACTGCATTTATGCTCAGGACAGCTTGCAATCACACTCAAGCTCATGCTCATATTCATCCCCATGCTGATTCATGCCCACACTCATACTGGTATTCACACTCCCATGACCACACTCGTTGCCATGCACACATTCATGATCACACATTCTCATACTCCTAACCACACTCGTTCTTATGCTCACACTCACAACCACACTCATTCTCAGACACTCCTGCTCATACCATTCTCATACACTCATAATCACACTCATGCTCATAATTACACTCATAATCACACTCATGCTCATAATTACACTCATTGCCACACTCATTCTCACACAACCATTCTCACACTTGTAACCATATTCATTCTCATGAAAACCACACTCAATTATTAGTTTCCTCAAGTGAAAATACTTCTCAGAATACATTTCTCAAGACACTTCCTTTCCTCAATAAGTTGCTTTAGGTAAAGGTGTATGAAATTTTTAATACTTATTTGTGGGTAAGAATTGGATTTTAACTGCACCTAACAAATATAGAAATACTGGATCAGAATGGAGAAAAATAAAGATCACATTATGATTTCTTACACATCAAAGAGAGGAGTTGCCTTAAATAATTATTTTTCATTTTTGTCTCTAAATATCCTCTTTAACTCAAATAGCTTTGGGTGACAAAATGTAGGGTTTCTTGGACAGGATCACAAACTAAAAAAAAAGGATCCTAAGGTGCAGAATAGCATGCAGAAATAAAGTGACATCCTTCATGAACTGCAAGTTAAAAACCCATGTCAGGTTCAGCCTCCTCCTAGCTCCTAGCCCTGCAGTGGCCTTCCTTGGGTCAACACATAAAGGTCCCTCCGTGCACAGCACAGACAGGATTGGACGCTGCACATGCCCTCCCGTGCAGGTTTACTGCAGGCCTCCCAGGCCCTTGAAGCAATAGAGTGAATGACAAGAGAAGGATGGCATTCCTCCTTCATGGTTCTAGAGAGCGAGTCTCTATGTTGTTATATACAGAGGACAGATCTCGAGGCATGCTCACTGTCATCTGGCTGTCTGAGCAGCCGTAGGACCTCACCTCCTTGTAGCAAAGGGCAGCGGAGGGCCGGAGGGGAGGTGCAGGCCGCAGGCAGCTCAGGCTCCAAGGCTTGGGAGTTTTCGGAGGCTCCAGGGGTCCCCAGTTGATGGTGGTGTGCGGGGTGCCGTGGTGGGAGGGGTGAGGGAGCGTGTGGTAGGCAGGCGCCAGCGGTGCAGGCTTGCTGTCCGCGTGCTTGCTGGACGGAGTGACCGCGTGGGAGGGGAGCTGCCAAGGGCACAGAGCAGGAAGGGCAGAGACAGAATGTGAGACTCTAGCACACTCGCTACAAAAGGACGCTTCATACACACTTTATCCTGTTCTTTAAAAACTCTCCAAGTGAATAAGCCCTGGGTTATCATTTCTTTTGGATCTCTGACTCTCAGCACTCAGTTTCTGGGTCACAAGCCTCCCCACAGGGTGGGCTCCCCTATAGCATCTGCTCTGGCCAGGAGGGGCAGCGCTCCGCCACGGCCAACACTCTAACACTCCACGGGCCACATTTATATGCACAGAATAAGATCTGGAAAAATGTACTTCCTTAGCATATAAGAATTTTACAAGAGAACAGGTGTTCCCTATATGGGAATCAAGGCTATAGGGGATGGTAACCCTCCTGGCTGCTTATTGTTCACCACCTGGTGATAAAGAGGTTGGTCAAAACTGGGGACTGACTCCTAGTTCTGTTTTTTAAAAAATAAATTTCCCTGGCACACAGCAGGCTTGCTCCTCTCTATGGCTGCTTCCGTGTTACAGGGCAAAGGGCAGTTGCAACAGAGACCCATAAAGCCAAAAATATTTATGACTCTCTGGCTCTTTATAGAAAATTGATAATGCTTAGAATAAAATAAATTATTTTATTGGAAAACTCAGCTTTATTCAAAAATCTAATTTCTCAGGGGAAGGTGTTACTAATGAGGTTTATGTTCCTAGAAAACCCAAAAATATTCCATCACCCTGACAGATAAATGAGAAAAATTAAATAAGTAACACTCAAAATTAGCCAATGACCTTAAATCAGCCAGTAATAGTAAGGCATGCTCATCGGGAGAGTGCACTGAGCAGTTCTATGCCCTGGAAGTCTGAGTGAGGTCACCATCCTACAGACTCCAACATCTGACACACAGTGGAAGGGAAGGCCCCCCAACAGCCAATACCATGGTTTCAGGAAGAGAATAAACTTGCTCAAGGATCATATTCCCCTGCCCTAGCATGGGGGAGGGAAGTGTGAGACTTGTATCACGCTATATATCTACTACAAGTAATTTTTTTCAAACTAAGTAACTTATAGATGAATAAAATTATACATAATATCCCTCCTAGCAATAATGTCATAGTAACTGATGTTTGCTTTTGTTTCTCCTTAACTTGAAAAAGTCAAAAGAGGTATGCTTTATGCTAAGATCAGAATATGATTTAAGCTGGATACAGCTGGATCACAGGGAGGATACATAATCCCACAAGAGACTCCCTAGAAGGCACATTTCAAACGGGAGGTGGTGCAGTGCCTCCCCTGCTGCAGGGATGCTTTCCCAGCCCCCAGAGACATTATAGCTGCAGGGATGCCTTCCCAGCCCCAAGAGACATGATAGCCAACACTGAGATGCAGGGCCCAGCCACCAAGAAAAGTTTCCTTGATAGGAAATTTTATAAAGTCGAGTTTCTGGGTGTTATTGAAAGTCTGAACAAAAAAGCATCTCCATTGTTCTTTATAAATACACACATGTACACACATATGTCCCTGGGATAAATTTAGTTCCACGAAAGCTAAGTGTTTCCATATTTTTAAAAGAATGGAGAAGTTACAAATGGCATAGCCATTCAAAATATAATGTCAGCTAAAGCAAATGAGTAGTTTTAACCTCCAAACTGTGTTACAAAAAATAGTGAGACCATGAAACTTTGATCAGAATGTTACACAACAACAATCCTTCTTGAGTTAAAGCTTTAATATGAAGGATAACAAATGAGAAAATAAGCTAAAGAGTAGGAACTATCCTAATAATCTAACAGGGATATGAAGAAAATCTACACATTGAAAATGCCTACAAAATCATAATTCGCTCTTTAAAAGGTTTGCCCAGTTTTTCAATATTACTTGATAAAGATAATGAATATTAAAATAATACCAATTTCTGCAGCACAAAACATCAGCACAGAGAGGTTTAAATGCTGAAACTTTGGTGTTGATCTATTTTGAAACATTATAAAAGTCTCTAAAACTCCAAAGAGCAGTTGAGCTATTCAGAGATAAACTAATTTCTTAAAATAAAAACAGTAAGTCAAAAATTATAATTTATGACTTTAACACAAATCTGGTCCTTATTATCATAATGACTTATTTTGTGTTTTCTTAAATTAAACATAATGAATACAGTTAAAATTCTCAGGAAAATCATCTAGGAGTGGTAGCTCTTGGGGGTTTTGCATAAACTCCCCAAGATAGTCTTCTAGGACCACTCTGAGCAGAAGCGGCTTCCTACCCAAGCCTCCCTGAATTTCGTGTGAGGACACATAATTTAGGGCTGTTTCATTGGAATGATCATCATGAATCGAGGACTAAATATTTGCAGAGAAATATGAGGCAAGTATTTTGCATTCTTGATCCAAATATTGATTAAGCTTTAAAGCACTTGATCACTAGCGGATAGCTTAACTCTAGGCAGCCCCCGTTTAGTCTAGGAGAGGCATGAGAGCCCTTACGGTGTGGGAGGGCACAGAGTGAGGCTTCACGGTGGGGTTTCCGACCGATGTGACTTTCGTCTGCTTCTGCAGGTGGTCCACCCACTCATGCAGATCCTGCTGATTGTTGCATGACACTAATATCCGCTCGATCATGCTCCCTAAAAGAGATAAGAACAAAATAGGCCAGAGTGGAAACACATGTAGAAATGCACACATGCACCCCCCAAGTATCACTCAGCAACACTTAAACATCACCTTCTGAAATACACAAGCAAGAACCTGCATGCGGATGACAAGCTACCTCTCTCGTCCCCGTGACAGCATTCACACAGTTTGTGCCTATCACCTGATATTTCAAATGCATTTCTATGATTTTCACTGTCCTCAAGCTTTGTGATTGTCATTCCTGTCGTTGGTAGCTTTCCCTAAAAAAGAGCCCCCCCACAAAAAAAAAAACAATTAGTGCTTTCCTAGTAAAGAAGGTATCACTGTTAAAGTAAATATTAAATGATTTTAGGAATGGCAGAGGAACTGTGTGCACCAGAAAAGCTCTTCTTTATAGCAGATGCATGTATAATACAAAAAGCTATCTCTAATAAGAAATTATAATACTGTACTATAATCAAGAGATTGAACTGGCAAAAGGTATAGAGTACCAATCTAGAACAAAGAGTTCATCTGAAGAGTGACTCTAAACCCAAATACCAAATACCAGGACACACACACTATACACCACGATTTTAAAAACTAGAGTGTATAGCAGCTATTTTTGTAGAAAAATAGCTTTTTGTAGAAAAGAAGTCTGAATATGCCTTATAATGAAATGCAGAGGAAGCTCCAAATTTGAAGGTGAAATAAGGCTGGGAAATTGAGGCAAGCATAGGAAACATCTCACAGTTACACTGTAGTCTACCAAGGAGAAAATAAGTCGTCATGCTAAATGTTGCACAGAGTGCAGAAAATGGTGGACAAACCCATCCTTCCTAAAAATAGAAAATATCAGTAACTGAAACAGGCAATGTCAATGGAGAGACATCAGAAAGGAGATGCAAACTGATCACCATAAACAAAGCAGAACTGAACATAAAGTAACACATCCTGGTTGACACAAACCATGGTATGCAGTGGCCAACCCAGTTTTTAGTCAAAGTCTACAGGTGTTTTGGACCAAGTTGCCTAGGCAACAATTAGTCAGCCAAGGGACAGGACTCTATATCAGCACCTCTAAAAGCCATGCTTCTGAACAAGGTGTAGGAAATGTGTCCCCACTGAGGACATGCAGCAGTGTCACAGTCTGACCAGAGAGGTTGCCCAGAGGCTGCCCACAACCTTAGGGGCAAGTGTGCCACTAAGCATGGCAGACTTGACATTTCTGCGGTCAGGTGTACTTAAAAACTGCTACAAACTGTGTACACTTTTCCAAGATTCATAATGCACATATGTATTTCAACAGCTCTGAGAGACAAGACCTGAGAAAATAAAACTGTGCAACTGTCTACCTGGCATATCTTAACACCAGTGTATCTCTGAATCTGACACTTTTTAACATCCCTCAAAACCAATGTCCTAATAGCAGAAATGAATGCAATGTCCTAATAGCAGAAATGAATGATACAGACTGTGGATCTCTGCACTAAGAGAAAAACCTCCCAGGAAACTGTGCTGGGAATGAGAAAATAAGGTGTCCTAGTGGCAACCTCTTCTCCCTAGTGCAAGGCCAGATAGTGCTGATGGGAAAGGACTCAAGTTTAGGTTTATCAGGGTCATTTAACAAAGGGGTAGCTGCTGCCAGTTTGGGAGGAAAACCCTACTGGGTACAATCTCAGCCACAGATAACCTGGTTCCTCAGCAGTAGACTTACAAATTAAAGCATTATTTTTCTGATCTTATCTGTATATATTTGCTTTAGCAATATTAAAGTGCTCCTTTTGGAATAACTGTCCTCACTGGGTGGCAGATAAAACCTTCTGTGGAGGTACAAAAAAGCTGAGTCTACTTATGACTCAGAGTTCTCTAACAATATAAGGCAACAATATAAGGCAACATATGCTGTACAGAAATGCAACTCAGAGAACACAAGGTGGTGACTTCCGTTGTAGTAGTATCTGGTGACTGGTGAGTCTTCAAAAAGTTGATGAGAAGGGTATTAGTTTCTCTAACTTAAAAGAAAGAAAAATAGTAACACCTGCCAAGAGCATCTACCAAACATACAGAAAAAACATAAGCTACTTGGTATCACCATTATAAATTAGTGTAGCAACAGAAAAGAACTCCCCCTTGCACTTTCTCCTCAAATCAGCTGTCATGTTTTTGCAAAGAAAAGCAATGAAATGACTAAAAAATAAAAAGGTTAAACAATCACGTTACTCCTTATATTACCTTAAATCTGCTGATGTATCTGGGTGGTGCTGCACCACTTACAAAAGATCCAAGGCCACACCCTTCCACTTTATCCACAGTCCCTTGTCCAACCCATTTTGCAGAGCAGAAAACTACAGCTCAGGGAAGCAAGGCACTTTGCACAAATGACATGCATCAATGACAGAGACCAATGTGCACCACAGCAGTCTGTGCCCTGAAAAGGTTACTCTAAAAATTTATACTTCCTTTTTTAATTAGAATTAACATGAGGATATGCTTGTGTAGTCACATTGAAACACAAAGAGGAGCTATATGTCCATATCTGAATATATAATACTCCATACACAGCACTACACATGGCACATAGATACAAGTAATATTTAACACAAAATTCAAAGCCAGCCTGAAAATGATTCTCAGATTCACAGTAAACAATAAAATAGAAATTTAAATGTGTTTTACCTGATAGATAAAACCACTCATCCTAGGACTGGCAGACAACATTAGCAAAATATTTGGGAAGAGTAGAAGGTATCTTTCATTCTTTTCCTAATATAAAAAAACAAACAAATCCAAATAACTTTTAAAAAAATCTACTTACACATGTGAGCACAAATACTTACTTTATATTAGGCCCTATGAAACATTATACTATATTTCCTGTTTAGGTATTTCTATCAAATTTTATTAGGTAAAGTAAATGGAAACAAAATTATGATAAATTCTGTATTAAGTCTTAACATACGATTAAGAGAGAGCTTTAACATTTAGGTAAAAAGATGGATCACTAAATTCTTCAAAATAAAAAGGTAAGAAAGTAAAACTAAATGATTAAAAGACCTTGGGCTCACAAGTAGCCTGTGTAACATCTTTAAAAATATTTGGTTAAAAAGTTCATCTAATTATTTTCAGTTAATCTAAAATTTTCTTTTTGTGGTTTAGAGAAAAAAAACCTATACAATTTTAGCATGGGAAGGAGGAACAGGTGGAGTCTTCAAGTTAAAGCAGGCGTCCTCAAACTACGGCCTGCAGGCCACATGTGGTGTTTTTGCCCATTTGTTTTTTTACTTCAAAATAAGATATGTGCAGTGTACATAGGAATTTGTTCATAGTTTTTTTAAAACTATAGTCCAGCCCTCCAATGGTCTGAGGGACAGTGAACTGGCCCCCTGTTTAAAAAGTTTGAGGACCCCTGAGTTAAAGGAAGGATAGGATAAAATGTTAAAATCAATTTTTGTCTTTTAATAATTCCTGGCATTTCTCTAAATGCCATAATATGTCAATTCAATGTTGTTTCATCCACCCCATAAACTTTACCTGGTTTACATGAAAGACGTAAAAACATTACTATGTATTAAAAATCATTTGCTTCAATAAGAAAGCAAAGAGCCAAAGAGACTTCAACTAAAGGACAGAAATTCCCAAGAATCTAAAAAGAGACCTAGACATGCCAGGCAGTCCTTTTCACATGAAGACATTCAAACCACTGCCCCAGAAAGTGAACTGAATGCTAGCAAGCAGTTTCCCCAAGCATATTCCTCAGAATGCTAGACCTATGCAAAGTACCTTGAAAAAAAAAGCTTCTATACTTCAAAGATATCATTGAAAATGGTTCACTATTAATACATTCTCCTCTGGAAAATCACAACATACAATGGGAATATTCGGAGCAAAGGCTCTGAGGAGTTTTGTTCATAAAGGAATCTTTTCCACTTTATCTTTTCAGCTATGATCATGACAACATTGAATCATTTTTGAAGTAGCACCCACCAACATTATATAGATCTAGCATTACAAAGAACACACTATGGAGAGTTTCCATAAATTATTTTTAATAAAGTTAAAAAGAACATGATTAAGAAACAAACTGCTTCTGGAAAGATTTGGGTTTGGGGGATGTTGTAATTAAGAAAGTCATGGTTTCTTATGGTAACCAACCTACAAGGCTTTAGTAAATAGAGGGGGTGATATTTCAAAATTTTATAGGTGGGAAGAAAAATACATTGTGTCACGCCTGTAATCCTAGCACTCTGGGAGACTGAGGCTTGCTCGAGGTCAGGAGTTCAAAACCAGCCTGAGCGAGACCCTGTCTCTACTATAAATAGAAATAAATTAATTGGCCATCTAATATATATAGAAAATATTAGTCGAGCATGGTGGTGCGTCCCTGTAGTCCCAGCTACTTGGGAGGCTGAGGCAGCAGGATCACTTGAACCCAGGACTTTGAGGTTGCTGAGAGCTAGGCTGACACCACAGCACTCACTCTAGCCTGGGCAACAAAGCAAGACTCTGTCTCAAAAAAAAAAAAAAAAAAGAAAAGAAAGAAAAGAAAAGAAAAAGAAAAATACATTGTGAGAATTAAGTTTTGGCTTTCTTATTCTAAGAGTTTCACATTTGAAAATGGGCCATTAGCATGTTTTGGTCATGGTAATTATTTTTTTTGCAAAGGTATAATGAAATTCAAAAAGTGGTACCTGCTTAGGGACCCAATGAATGTTTATGAATGCGAATCGTGAAACAAACTGTTCAATTTTCTCTGTGTGGGATATCACAAACATATGATTTGATCTCTCATCTAAACCTACCTCCCATAAGCAAATGCCAAACTAATGTACATTATAGCAAAAAAGTACAATGATCCAAACCACGGTAAACAGCAGCTCCCTGAGAGCAGCAGCCTCAATACCACAAGTTCACACAACTCTGTGGCACAAATGCACAAAGAGAGCTCCTACAAGTTCTGCCTGCCTCTTTCAGCTCATATGGGCTCTGGACCAAACTGATCTCGATGGATCTAAACTGGTCAACAAGCCCATACTCAGCTTTAAGCCTCTCTAATATGCCATAACCTCTTTCATATTTGTTAAATTAAGACCTAAGACAGAATTCCTATTAAATATTGTCATCACTTGAGATGCCTTTCAAGTCTTGTATTACAAGAGCCTAATTGTGCATTGGGTATACATATTGTGTGCATGTGGATTGCAGTACCTCGCTTCCCGCACACTGGATCAGGACCTGGGACATGTAAATGACGTTGCCCAAGGTTTTAATGTCATCTCCCTCCCAGCTCCGAATGGCTTCTGTCAAGATCTGCAGCTCCAACTCTTTTCTTTTCCGGACTTCTTGACACTGGGCCTGAGAGACACGGAACAACACCGTTAAAGACACAGAAACTTTCAAAATCTTATGTTTTGGCCACAGTGCTTTGTATTTTACTTCTTCTAATTATTGCTTTGTATTTTACTTCTTAAGACAGATAATCTACTGAATGATTTGCTTGATTATATGAAATTAAGAGAAACAACACTTATAACTGCTCTGGAATAATAAACACTACTTTAGAAAAAATATAGCAGATTTTGCCACTTTTAAGAAGAATAAATGTAAACTGGACAAGAAAAGTATTTTCAGTCTTGTTTTATTAGTATCTACCAACACAGAAGACTGAAAAGAGGAAAACAGGACAAGGAGAACCTGTGCTATGAGTAATGCATGTGTTTCTAAAACGCAGCTGGTAAGACAATTCAACTGCAGATGAAATGGAACCACCAGTATTGTTTCACAATATATCATTGAAGACACTGTACATAGAAGTTAAGAAAATGTTTTAAATAATTTTAAAGTATCTCTAACATCAATTGTGTTGTGCCTTTTTAAAATTTAGATAATTGTTGTATCAATTTTCTGGTGTCCATTTACCAGCCATGGAATGCCTACTATATGTTTGTTTTTATTTCATCTGAGTAAACACTGAATTCACAAGTAAATTTTTTATCATCTAACTTTTTCAGGTGATAATTCTTCTACATTCATTTGCCATAACAATGTGTGAGGAAAAAAAAACCCATAATATGTTTAATCACTTACTGAAAGGTTTTTGAAGGCAGTCATAGATTTTTGAATATCTTGTCTATCGGTATGATAATCCTTTGAATAAAAGAAACACACTATTAGCTTTCATAATGGATTTTTTCTTAAAAAGGCACTTTCTATAGATAAGCCTGAAACTTTTCTAACACTTTTTAACCCTTAATACGCCCTTTTTAAAAATCAGCATTAAAGTGCCATCTCTTACTCTTTAAGAGAAGCACTGAGCCAACTGACTTAGGGGGAAATACTTTGGGACAGAATACTCAAGAGCAGGCATGAGCAAACCAAGCTGTTAAGCCAATAAAATTTTATCAGAACAATGCCACACCCACAGCTGACATGTGGTCTCTAGCTGCTTGTGTACTAGAACGGCAAACTGGACAGCGGTGAGATCCCAGAGCCTGCCCTTTATGGAAAAGGTCCGCCAACACAAGCCAAGGGAGTAACATCAACCCAAATTTCTGCCAGGCCTGCAACCTATCATTTGAAAATAAGATAACTACAATCATTAATTAAATGATGCTTTTACTATTATTACTCTATAACTTATGCACTAATTGTAGCTAAATGTTCCTGATATGACACCTCAATGATATGTGGAAATCATCTTTCATTTTCCAGCTTTGGGAAACTTTTCAGTTGGCAACAGTGGCTGAGGGAGCAGAGAGATGAAGGGCAGATGCTTTTCTATAGAGATGGGAAAAAGGAAAAAACCTTAATATTCAACAAAATTATTCTGAAAGTCCACTACGCTAAAAACTCTTGGCAAACTCTCTGTTTGCCCTGGCTTCTAAAATAAATTATCAGTAACAATTTTTGTCATACCCAAGACTGACCATGCCACAAACCCCTGGGCAGGAGCCCAAGTGGCAGAGTAACAAGGCAGTACCTCCATGTGCCTCTCGAGCTCCTTGAGCAGTGTGGGGTATTTGTCCAGGCGCATGAAGGGCTTGCTGAGGCCTGTGGTCAGCACAAGGATCCCAGGGCTGCTGGCACCTCTTGCCTCCATGAACTCCCCCAGCTCCTCACTGGGCAGCATGCAGCATGGCAGCAAGAGAGAAGGCACATGGTTAACAATGAGAAGCAGGGTGGCTTTCTGATTGCCATGAGCAACAGCCAGGCCCCATGAAACCTGAGTGCTGCTGTGCTGGTTATCTTGAAACACCACAGGGAAGCCCCAAAGGGTCCTGTTACTGCTCTCATGTGAGCCACAGCAGCTGTGTATGACACAGAACACCCGTGTCCCCGTGCACTTCCACTGACATAAAGGCCCTTTGGCCTGTCAACACCACAGGACATGTCTGAAGGTAAGCATACACTCTGGGAGCTAGAAGAAATTCTAATCACCTCAGAAAGAACGTCAAGCTGGTAAGAACTAGGACCGAGCAGCTGCAGTAAAGAACGCGGTGGGCCTGCAGCATGCCTGAGAGCACCGGGCCCAGGGCTCGCTCATCCAGCACACACCCTGAACCCTGCACTAGACATGCCGGCTCCAACCCTGTCAGGGCGCACAACCGCCGCATGATAAAACAATGCCACTCATTCAGGCTTCAGAATTGTCAACGCATGTTTACATTTAATCCTCACAAGATGTGAAGAAGAAAGGTATCCCTGTTTGCAGACAAAGAAACTGAGTGTATATCAAGAAATAAAGGGAAGTTAAAAACAAGCTTTAAATATCTTTCTGTTCTGCTTTCATCATCATCCTTATGTTGACTACACGTCACCTAATTTCTCCCATGGGTACCCCAAGTCCTCTATTTCCATGCACCATCTCTGAAATGACACAGGATGGCGAACTGGGCCACTATGGGCACACACACTGTGACCAACACATCTGTGACTGCTAATGGCCACCTACAGGCCACACTTTCCATTGTTGTCGCAGAACAGGCCTGAGTCAGGGTCCCTATGCTGTGTGTGCCCTCTAGATTCTAGATGTCAGACTGGGACCAATGGGTGGGGAAGAGGCAGCAGCAGCCCAGGGGGCCCAATTCAGGTCCAGGAGACCAGGAGGAGCCCCAGTCACCATGTCAGGTAGAGGCACCAGCCCAGAGGGCCCATGTCACATCCAGGAGACTAAAGGGGGCCCCAGCTACCATGTCAGGTTGACATACCAGCTCAGGGGGCCCATATTACATCCAGGAGGTTGAAGCACCAGGTCTCTGGTCAGTAGAGCTGGATTCAAAAGCTACCCATGTCATTTATCCCAGGAAACAATTGTTCCTAGTCTAAATGTTCTTCCTTAAAATGAAAAGATACTTATATCCTCAGTATTATATAAATGCCACCCTAAAACACATATAAAATCTTAAGACAAAAAGTCCAAAACAAGCCAGTTCTCACTCAAGTCTCATAAGACCCACAGGGACCCTCCACCACCAGGCCTCCTGCCTCCCCTTGCCACTGCCTGAGCTTTGAGGACACCAGACCCACCAAGTGTTCCTGGTGAAAATGTAGAGAATGTTTAGGCTAAACCAGAGGAAACTGCGAGTTCAAAAATGGTGAACACTGACAGTTTCACAGTTCAACCTGAACATGGCTTCCCATGGGAGGTGTGAGAGCAGGCACTGAGGTGGCAGTCCCTCTGTCCTCAGGGAGTTTCCAGAAGACCCTTTCACTCAACCAGACCAACTCAGAAATAGAATATTTCAGACATCAGGGTGAAAACAACTTAAGCACTTCCATCTAAACACTTTCTATAAAAACTGTGGTGGTCTTGTTAAGCAAGGCATCAGAGCGTTCCTGTGCTACATGAACCCAGTGATGATGTAGCTAGCAGCACCTCTGCCTATCAATCCACACCTGTCAGAAATCAACTTTTTAAACAAACATACACACGCACTTAAGAGATATTATCAAAACCAAGGAAAATTATAAAAGGGTAAAAAGTTTTTATATGATCCTATATATTAAAAAATCAACACATATAATAAACATTTTCTCAAGTCTACATAAAAGGTTTCATAATTATTTTATTCCTGTAAGACAGCTCATTATGATGATGCAATTTTAAAAAGTATCGTCACAGACACTGTCAGAGTACTTCTAGGTGTGTGTGTCTGTGTGGGGTGTGTATGTGTGTCTGTGTGAAAGTGTATATGTGCTTTCATGGGCAAATGTAACTCAACATCTTTGTGTCTGTGCTTTTTAAAAATTGTTTCTTTGGAAAATCAGAGGATTGGGAACACTAAAAAAAGCTCAGTGCCACCTCCAGGACCTTGCTGTGGTCACAGTACTACTCACTTTGGAGACTGCACTGACATAAAAGCCACTGTGTACCCAGTCCACCATCATTTCCACACATGGAGACACTCCCTGCTTTCCCAAGCAGCAACCTTCCCACTGGGAGAGGAGACCAGGACAGCAGGACTGCCAGGACATAGGACAGGGAGGAGCAGTAACGTGACCGGTTGCTGTGCTGGTCCCAGAGTATATGCCCAACTTATGCCCCCAACACCGCTGCAGGTGGGGGAATGCACACATCATTATCGGTGTGACTTCAACCCAGCTGAAGTCAGGCCCAGCCTGTGCAGACGGTGTGCCTGCCCTCTGACCACAGGCAAGCTGTGCCTCGTGCCCACAGTGCCCCCACTCATGCGCTTACTCAGAAATGCTCTGCTCTTCACACTGCTTACTCTCCATCCCTAAAGCATGAGCAGAGCGAAATAAACAACTGAGACATAAGAAACTAGGTTTTACCAGCAATTCTCTAAGTGTGAACAATTTATCAGGCACAGTCCCACAAAAAACTTGATAATACTGAAAGTTTACTTCAACTCCTTTAAATATAATCCATGAAGGGCCTTTTCCACCAAGATAAGAACCAAGAAAAAGACTATTCGGGCCATTATTTGTATTTTGGGGTTACATGTAAAATATCCTAATTATAGTTACAGAAACTGAGTGTATATCCAGAAATTAAGGAAAATTAAAAACATGCTTTAAATATTTTTCTGTTCTGCTTTCACCATCACCTTCATCTTGAGTACATGTCACCTAACTCATTATAGCAGGATACCCTCATCACTCCCCCTTCCCACCCTAAAAAAAACTGTAAAACAAAAAATGAAATTTATACAAACAAAAGTAACTTCTTTCAATATTCAATAATGCCAGAATAAATATACAGTTGAGAAGAAATAGAATTTTATGAATTTTTATAGATCGTTTTTAGTTTCATTTTGTAGTTTTTAAAAAAATTTTAATGCCATAATAAAACAAAGCAGCTAGCCATAGCTATCTCAACAAAACAACGACTCTTTCAGCTTCGTTCCTGCTGACACTGGCAGCCCACACACAGCAAGGCCCCTCTGCACTTACTCGAGGCACCGAGGGCTGTGAAGGACACAAGGAAGGGTGACCATGGATCAAGCAGAGAGCTACACATTGCTGTGAAAGAATCAGTTTTTACAGACCAAATTATAAAACCCACAGTTCATTTAAAATAGGCAGCCATGGGCACATGGCATCTGCTATTACAATAATGCACAAGGTACATATCAGGGGTAACTCTGCAGTTGCATTTCAAGAGCTATACCTAGAACTTAAACTAAAACAACTCAAGGACCATGATGTTGCAAATAAGACTTTTAACTTCAACACACTGCACTTAAATCAATACTTACAAATTACTCTAAAGCATAAAAGTAGATTAATGTAGAAAAGCACGCAAGAGGTCACACATTAAGAACCTAAGTATAAAAAAGTAGGGACATTGCCGGGCGTGGTGGCTCACGCCTGTAATCCTAGCTCTCTGGGAGGCTGAGGCGGGCGGATTGCTCGAGGTCAGGAGTTCAAAACCAGCCTGAGCAAGAGCAAGACCCTGTCTCTACTATAAATAGAAAGAAATTAATTGGCCAACTGATATATATATAAAAAATTAGCCAGGCATGGTGGCACATGCCTGTAGTCCCAGCTACTCGGGAGGCTGAGGCAGTAGGATCGCTTGAGCCCAGGAGTTTGAGGTTGCTGTGAGCTAGGCTGACGACATGGCACTCACTCTAGCCTGGGCAACAAAGTGAGACTCTGTCTCAAAAAAAAAAAGGTAGGGACATTGAAAGAAGCCATAAGCCAAATGAAATTGTCTCAATTCACTCACTCACACTTTGGGAACAGGATGTGACTTGTGGCAGGCAGAGTGGGAGCTCTGGGCTTAGGGACTTCGAGAGGATACACGAGTATGGCACCCCCGTGGCAACTCACTGCCTCTGCACCCATGGGCTTTGGGGGACTTTCCTCTCCCCTAGGCTTGGACTGCCAGACCCCAATGCTACAGCAACTGTCCCAGGACTGCTGCAAGCCTGGCCTCAGTCTATCCATTCTGTCATCTAGCAGGCCACTTAGAGGACACACAGACTTTCCCACCTCAAAACTTCACCTGTATTCTTTCCTCTGGTTCTTTTGAGAAAATGCTGCACCAACTTTTCAGACATGACACAATCAGTCATTAAGGTAACAGCAGAGAAGAAGATAAACACAGCACATACCCACAAGCATTTCTCCTGAAAGTTTTAACATTTGAGGAAACTCTAACAGTCTTAGCTGCTTTTAATGTCATCTTTAGGGCAGGTTCTCACTTACACAGGGAAAATACTGAGTTAGATTCTTCCCCGCAAATTGTCCACCCTGCCCTGTTTCTATCCTTCCAAGCCCGTCCTATGGAACTAATTCCCCCTCCCAAAAAGGGGGAGGGAGGAAGTGAAAAAAGGATTTAAAAGTATTCTCTAACATTCCATTTGCTTTTTGTTTACCTCCCTCAGCACTCCTTCAATAATTCTTAAAGAATGTTTAGAGATACAAATTTAATATTTGCATTGTGCTTTTGTGGAAATTTCATGTAATTTATAAACTCCCAGGAGTAGATGGTATAGCACATTAAGTGAAAATACGCTTGACGCTTTAAAGAAGAAATATTGCCAGCATAGCCCACACTCCCAGAAGGGTGATGAGGAGAAAGACCAAGCGGGAGGCACTGAGGGAGGCTTCTCTGGGTTTTCTGTTTTGTGACCGCTGTGTGTTCTAACCTCCCTTCTCATTATACTGTTAAAGGCTGCTGCTTCATTCCAGTACTGGAGATGCTTTAACACAAATGGGAAGTTAAAAAAATTTTAATCCTTTAGTATTTGAGCACATCCAGTAAACAGTAAATTCCAAGGGACATTTCTTTTTTTTTTAAACAATGTACGGCAACAAAACAATGAGCATTTATTGAGCATTTATCACGTTCACTCAGATCTGACTCATTTATACGTGTTTTGTTTAATGTTTATAACAATACTTAAGATAGGTTCTTTCAGGAAGGAAGCTGAAGCCCAGTGACATAAGGACACCTGCCTAAGGTCCCACAGGCCAGGGGCAGCCTCAGGACCCAAAGCTGAGTCTGTTCTGTCACCACTTCTGACACACTGCGAAGACTTCCACACAACACCACACTGAAGCCTCAACTACATTCTCAACGGGGTAGCAATGCCTGCTTACCAAAAAAGGGTGGGTTTTTCTTTAGTTTTAAATTGAAATGTTTAGTTAACATTAAGCTGAAGTTAAATTATTTAAGTTAGAAGCACAGTGGCATTTATTGTGATGCTACTAAAACACTATTTTTCCCATTTATAGTTCTGAAAATCTTTGAATTGTTTTTGAAAGAAATCATGAAATTTTTCCTAAAACAGTAAGAAAAGTATTGTCTCTCTTTAGAAACAGAAACCTAGTTTCTGAGCCCTAGCCATCTGCACTGTCGCCTAGCATAGCTAGTCCTCAACCCAATACTTGGTAACTAAGACAGCCAAGCAATTTCTCCTAACTCATAGGAAACAAACATTGCCTTGTCTTATAAAACTAGCAAAAATCTGTACATTCTATGTCACTTGTTTTAATTTTGTTTCAGGTTGAAAAGCTAAAGCTAATGGTCTCCAATTTAATGTTTTGCCTGCAAAAACTTGGTCCTAATTTGAAACACTTTCTCTTGTAGCCTATCTAATTCAGTCTCAAGTACTTCTAGTTTTATGAATAGAGAGCAACAGGATTCCAGTGGCCTTGATTAAACTTGTGGCTACATCCCAAAACACTTGCCAGCTCCTTCAACCCACTTTCCATAGGGTTCTAGGCTGAAGGGGTGACTGCAAAAAAGATCCTTTTCCTTTTACAAGAACTAACCAGCATTTCAAAGACTTCTTACCTCACTTCTCAAGGACTAATTTTGAGAAGTAATTAAAATTATCCTCATTTAATAATCAAGTAAATATTTCGTGTGATATCTGAAGGACACAGAGCTGTTACCCCCTTCCCTTCTGTTCAGATGCCTATGTGGACCAACCTGTGCTCTGTGAGGACATTCACTGCAGATGGGTGATTGGCACAATACGCGAGGTACAGGGTTTTCATCTGTGGCATCAGGTTTAAAAAGCAGCCTCCAACCCTCTGCTGAGCTTCAGGCAACCTGGAGACACACAGCACAAAGGGACACAGTCATCAGTTTTACAGACAACAGGAAAACTGCTAAATGACAAACACGTAATACTATAGGCAAGAAAGGCCTCCCTTTGTACCCCACCCCATCTGTGAGAACAAGATGCACAAATCCCAGCATACATCTGTTTCTACACGAATCTAGCAGGGAGAGAAAACTCCTAGAAAGAAGGGCTGCTATAAAGTTCTCCTGGGCAGTGTCCAGACTGCCAGGACTTGTGCGCAGCACAGCGACAAACCTACAAGTCCGAGTTATTTGGATAGTGAGAAAAACAGATGTCATGGAGCCTTAAATTGTGCATAAAGTAAGGAGAATTATCAAATGTGGTTACATGGTTTGTAAGATTTTCTACCAAAGTAGCAGCAAAAAGATAAACAGAAGTAAACCAAAAAATTATCATACAAGTTAGCAGAAAGAATGAGAGACACGAGTGTCAAAAGGACAAAGCTCACGAGTGTCAGCACGGGGTGGAAAGAGGCCAAGTTATGACAGTGCTGAAGTTCAGAAACAAAAGACACAATAAGCTGTAAGCATGAAGCACCTGTTCCATATGAGGAACAGAGAATGAGAACAGAGTGGGACTCCTTGACAACCCGGAGCCGAGAAGCCAGTGAAGTAGCCCCTGGAAGAGCAGGGGAAATCTCTTCCTATAACCTTGTCTCCATCTGGGTCAGTAGTGAGCAAGGATTAACGGCCTGCCACGCCATCTTTCCTCAGGAAGTTTCTGAGGATGTGCTGGACCAAAACGTGGGAGTTATGCAAAAACAGAGGACGACAATGCCATCCAACATCCTGGCCAGAACTCCAGGATGAGACCCAGGCCCTGCAACTGCTGCTTCCTCCAGTAAGCACTCTGTCTTAGTCCCCACCTGCTGCTGTAACAAAACACCTTGGACTAGGCAATTTATAAACTATAAAGATTTACTGCTCACAGTTCTGGAAGTTCAGGTCAAGACACCAGCAGATTCTGTGCCTGATGAGAGCCAGGTCTCTGCTTCCAAGTTGGTACCTGGCTGCATGCCCACAGGGTGGAAGGGACAGGAAGCTCCCTCAGGCCTCTCACAGGGTACTAATCCCATTTATGGGGGCACTAATCCCATTTATAAGGCCCCCCCCTCCTGACCTAATCACCACCTCAAGGCCCCACCTTTTACTACCATCCAATTGGCGATTTAAGTCTCAACATATGAACTTGGGAAAAAACATTCAGACTGTAACACACCTGGCTCCTGCTGTGCCACTTAGCCTAGCAGGCCTTTCCGTGCTGAGCCCTCCACCCTGCAGGCAGTACCTCAGGCCTGCCTGCCCTACTTCTATCTCCAGCAAGTCTCTGGGGTGTTTCCTCTGAATTCCACACCCTCACCAGAAAGGAGACTCACTCTGTGAGTTCCTGGTCCTTAATTAGTGCTACTTTCTATCCTGAGGCTGCTAAGTATTGGCTGGACAAAGTCAAAGCGGGAGAATTGCCAAGTTACAAATATTAGGGAAAATCTCACGTTCAAAACACCAAGCACTCAAGATTCCTGGTAACTCAGTCTTCTCCTTGTTTTTTAACAACTGTCATTCATTCCTTATTGTTTATCAAGGCTCTAAGAAGCTGTTCCTCTTCGAATTTAAGAAAATGTCCTGAGCAGTCACCAGTTATGTGCTACGATAATGGCTGGGGGAGGCACAGGCACAAGGAAGCAAGACTACGTACATTCCCTTTATCCCATCCTCCTCCAAACAATCATTCCCAGCATAGTCGGACTTCCCTTCTATGTTGAGTAACATGCTAGTTTTAAAAAACCATGAGCTTCAGGAAAGATGTGAAAATAAATCTCTGCTTCTAAAATGTACACAGTATGTAGATGTAGTTAATGCACATAATAAAAATGCAAACTGTAGATAAAAATATCCCAGCCAGGATTGGAGCAAAGGTTCAGAAGGTTGATCTGTGTAAGAACCTCTATAGACAGAGCACCTGACTGATACTAAGTGCTCCCCAATTACCAGTCCTTTCCCTCTGATGTACTAAAGAAGATGGACACCCACCTTCCGTATTTAAAACTCTCCCTCTCTCCACCTCTCTGTGCCTGTGTATAAGCAGGACATCCCTACCCAGTGGTGAGAATAGCTCCCCAGAGAGCAAGGGACTGGCTGCCATGGTGGGGCCATGCCCAAACGCCAGCAGCTGAGGATGAGGATGGAACTCTTTGTGCAGGCAACTGCTATGAACAGATCCAAACTCAGATGGGAATCTGTCCCACCTGCTTTTTCTGCCAATCTTCTGTGTCTTCCAATCCAGTAGCTAGTAGCCATGTGGGACTATTTCTATTAAAGTTAATGAGAATCAAATCATCATTTTCTCAGTTGTATTAACCTTTTATTTCAAGTGCTCAATAGCCCTATGTGGCTAGTGGCTACTGCATCAGGACAGCACACACACAGCATTTCCATCAATACAAAAACTTCTACTGAGCAGTGCTGGTGTACCTCATCTAAGCCACATTTCTAAACCCTGGCATGTCATACATTTCTTATTATGCTGTTTTACTGTTTAGTTCATTTATACTTAACTGAAGTAAGCTAGCATTTGTACTACTAACATTCATTTCCAAGTGAGAACTGCTAAGTGGGGTTGACATAGCTTCAGGAATTAGCCATAGTTCTATCTGCAGAATAAACAGTCACTGACTCAACAAATTAATTTCAACTACCATATTTACTCAGCACCATAACAAGGTATTGAAAAAATATTTAAAAGGAAATAGTCTCTATCCTAAAATTGAAGTCAACTGAATAGAAGACAGAATATATCACCACAATTACATGAGTTGTGAGCCTGCAGAGGAGCACAGAGCCCCTCACTCTGTAAGCCAAGGAGGCCCAGCAACCAAGCCCAAGTACACATCGTTGAAAGACTAACAATACCTTCTCTTTTCTTTAAGGATCCAGGCCCTTAAGACACATCCATCTGGAGACTACTGCACGCTGACATATGAGCAGGAGATGTTCACACTCAGAGATACAGTGAAATATAATACTAGGAAGAGTCTGACTCCTAGAATGAGAGACAACCCTGAGTGCCTAGCAGAGGGATTGAAGGTAACTGGGAAATGATGGGATGCCACAGTTGTATGAACAAGAAGAGAATGCTGCCAGAGATGTGGCACAGCAAAATTACTGGGTATGCACTGCCTAAAATGGGTTAAGTTATAATGATTGCATAAGCATCACTCAGTGCTGGGCCATATACTATGTTAGGATTTCACTTCCCACCTAGTCCAATGCCACAGCTCTGATCCATTCAAAGGAGAATGTATCTAAAATCTAGATCAATAGGTTTTCCTGTGTGATACTTCCACCTGATGACAATTAAGTCATATGTTAGGATGGCTTATAAACGAACAATGACTTCACTGTACAAGCTTTCCTGTTCCTTTGAGCCTAGGCACTAGATTTTATTACCACTCTCAGTCCCAAAACATTACTCCAAGAATTTTGTAACACTGCCACCACCAAACAACTTCACAGTTCACACAGCCCTGCCAAGCACTAACTCACTGGATGGCACCAGCAGAGGAGGCTCAGAAAGGTCACGTGAGTCCTAAGACTTGAGCACAGCAGGTAACATGTACCGTCCAAAAAACTAAAGTCACAAGACAAAACCACCAAACTCACAGGGATCATTGCAGAGGGTGACTTAAGAATTAAAAGAGAGTATTTTCATGTTGGTTCTCTCTTGTGCTTCCAGATGTGGCTTTTCACAGTGTGATAATGTGCAGGGAGGGCCCCACTAGGGCTATGCTAAGGCTGCCAAGAGAGGCAAGCATCACACCAGTGGCTCCCACCCACAGCAGAGCCAGGGCCAAGACCTGATAACAGGTATGGTGTCAGGATAAGTCAACTAACAGTCTGATCACAGCCACAATCAAACCACAACAGCAGAGGTAAAGAGCTGTCCAAGGGGTCTTTCTCTACTCCCAGAGTGAAAATGACTGGGTCTCAGCAGAAACACTTGAGAAACCAGAAAACTGCTAAACAATCTTCCCCATAACACATTTATTCCTACTAATGTTGCTAACAAGACAAGAAAATGTTCCCAGTTGCAAAAAATATCAATTTCAGATGGAGACAGATGCACATGAAGACACAGCTATGCACTAGGTGAACCTCGGTGTACGCCCCCTCAACAGACCCAGCATAGTCTGTCCACCTGCAGCTTTCAGAGACCAGACCTCGAAAGCAGCCTCAAGTTCCCACCCATGGTGAGCCCACGGCCACCAGGAACACAGCTCACAAAGACACAAGGCCCCCCATAGCCACACGGCCTCTGGCAGTCTTCTGCCAAGTTATCCCTTGCTGACCTCAAAACCAGGAATGGGAACAACTCTTTCAAGGATCCCAGAACCCCAGGAAGGTCCAGGGTCAGAGTGGGGCTCCAGGGTGTCCCCCACTAGGACTCTTCTCTGACCCCTCTTCCAACCTGGCTCATTCCCTGGGCTGACACTTAGGTCCTGATCACCAGTGTCTCCAGCACCCCACAGCTAAACCTACCACACATGCCACTGCTCCACTACCCCTTCGTAGATGTCTTAAACCCCTGACAGCCCAGGGCTGAGGACCAGCATCTAAAGCTGCCTCCATGTCCAGCCTCTGTGACCATGTCCTCCACTGGCCCCACAAAGCTGAACCCCACGAACTTGAACCATTTTCAACAAATGGGCATAGTAAACCCCAAAGCACCCCCAAATTAACAAGTCCTATATGCTCCATGTCTAAGCCAGTCTGACTCCAAAGTTAAATATTATCTCTAGATCACAGCACCCATGCTTGAATTATTTGGATTTTTCAGAAATATGGCTTTCAAACAAAATAAACTATATCTTCTAGTTTCAAATCTGTATTCTGATAATAACCTAAAACAAATACTATTATTATTATGAAAATGTTACAGTAATGGTTCAAATAATGTTTGCAAAAATGCA